ACCCACCCACCCAACCACCTCGCTATTTCCTTGGCTTTACACCAGGATTTATGTCACTTATAAAGGATGGACCTCTTAAATACTATTAGGATGAACACAGTTATGCAAATCATGTCCCATAGCAGGAATTTCTCATGGACTTCAAACATATAAGGCATTATATCTATAATAAAACTAATTACCCTTGGTTTTGTTACAAACATGTTTTACTGTACATGTTCTCAATACAGTAAAACCTCATTATACTGCCACCATTTGTCCAGAGCAATTTTGGCGTTATAAAGGGGATTGGCGATAAATTGAGGGAAATGTATAAAGTGGTTCTTAAGAAAACGAGAAAAAGGGACAGAGATATGTTGGCGGTAAATGAAATGGGGGGCATTATATCTAGGTTTAACTGTAAGTCATTATTGACTGTATCTTTTCAAAGACTAAGCTATGGAATTGTCCTTGTTTGATATTTGTGCCATTCAGTCCTTCTTTATTGGTACAGAAAGTTATTGTCACTTCCTCCTTGGTCAAACTTTCAACTCCATCTTGTCCGTAGTAGCTAGCTGGGCCTGTGATTTCCATTACTAACGAGTAGCAGACTTCTTTTTTCACCAGAACAGGAGGCACTATCCCAAGTGGATAGGTTTTCGTAGAGCCATCAGTCCTCAAATCAAATACCTTCAAATGCAATTCAGCACCACCATCTTCTAGAACTCTCAGGTTCATCTTATACAAAGCTTGATTCATGCAGCTGCCATAGACCAAAACCTCGTGTAGCTTGGCATCTTCAGAGAGCATGAAGGAGATAGCGTCTGTGTTGCCACGGAAATAACCTTTACCACTTAAGACCCCCTTAAATCTTTCAAACACAAGTCTCTGTTCTCTCTGAGGTTCTGGAGGGTCAGCCTTTTTTGTGGTCAAGAATTGAAAGTACTTAACAATCTCTGAAGTAGTCAGAATACCTTTATGGGTGACCTTATCGGAGAAGTAAGCCACGTCCATTCTTGCAAAACGAATGTGCGGCAGAATTTTGTTCAGGGCGTTGCGCCTGTTGGTAGCATCGACCCTTAAATTTTGTCTCTTGATTTTTTCATCTGCCCATTTTATAACTGCCTCGAATATTCTCTCTTCTTGTATATTTAACTTGTGATGTTGCAGTAGCTCGATCAGAGATTCTTCTGGCAAATCTGTGAACCCTTCTGTTGAAAACACATCCGATGCATGGAGGTTGATGTACTGCACACAGGCCTGTTTTGTTTCTTCTTCATGCCACAGGAATGTGTTTATCAGAATATGGCATACATTCTCCCTGGAGATTCCCGTCCGCATTCGCTGGCCGCACCGGTTTACCAGGCCCTGTATGTTGTACTTCTGGGCGGCATACAGCAGAGGAAAGGCTTCGTCTGTATCTACTCCTGTATCATCACAGTAAATGTACCTGTAAGATGATAATAAATAACATGTTTATTATTATGCTTAAAATGGCCACTATTAAATGTAACAACATTCTGTAGATGGATAATGTGAACAAACGTTGTATAAGTGTACAAGAATGTTTACATCCCATGTCTCAGTTTCAGGAGGATACCCAGTGGTATACGGATGCAATCCTGTTGTAAAAATAAAAATAAAAGACAAGATAAGCTACGCTGGAATCCCTGCAGTTACAGAAATCTCGATTCAGGACTGACTTACTCTTTACTTTTGATTATTTGATATACATTATACAGTAGAATTAGAAATTCAAATTGGTTTTAGGTGCGACTTTGGGATAGAATCATTTACATAATGATTTAGCCCATATTATAATATAAATTTGTTTACACGGAACTGTTTTTTTTTGTATTTTTTTACTGAACAAACCCATAAAATAGTCTCATTTATACTAAACTAACACATAATATGGACTCATACTGAAATTACCCATATTATAGAATGACAAATGGTATTAAACCTCACTTATATCATCAAAAAATTAAAATTTGCCTGATCTAATGATATCTGATAGCACTTACAATAACATTTTCTTGAAGGTAGTTGGGTCAATGTCAGGAATTGTGACCAAGCTGTTTTCCTCAGCCATAAGACCCTCAAACATGGCGAAAAACACATCACTCCTGGTCATTAGCATGTATTTGTGAGCGCCAATACGCTGTTGGTCGTCGTTTGGTCCGACTATGAAGTGCACATCACAGCTGATTTCCTGCTCCAGCATGTAGCGATTACACTGTGTTAGTGTCCTACCATCCCTCCAGTTTTGTGGCTCAGTACCTCTCTCAGCCATCTGTCCTTCGTTTGGTTCAGATTTAAGTTGAAAAGCAGACAAAATCTGTCATAAAGAAAATAATAAGATATCAATCACTGTGAAATGTACAGTGGAGCCCTGATTAATCAATTTCCCACATTCATCACAATAAATATAATAATTCTGGAAGCCTTATTGTTCTCAAAAGTAAATATACAGTTAATATATAGCTGTGGTTACATAGCTTCTGATGACAAGACAGTTTATTTATATATTGCAGGGCAGAGGAGGCCAGGAACTAATATCAGTACCAAGTTAATGTATAGCCCGAGTTTCCTCTGGCCCCGACACTGGACTTACACATTTTGACAGAAAAACACCAGACATCCATCTGTCAAAATGTGTAAGTCTGGCGTCAGGGCCAGAGGAAACTCGGGTTAGTTAATGTGGTGATTGGCAATCGGCTAAAAATCATTATTGATAATCATTTTGTAATCGGAAGAAGTAAACCGGTTGTTGATCGATAACATAATCAGTTTATAATCTTATGAACTGAATACACCATTAAAGCAGAGACGTATAAAACACATATGGCTTTATACGTCTCTGATTAAAGAGACATTTTTTTCATCCAAAAAACAAAATCGAGTTATAAAGGTAAAGTCTTTTTATATAATTCATGATTACTCAATAAATATCCGTGGAAAAAAGGAAAGTTATCGACGTATAACATGTAAGAAAATCAGTACGAATGATCTTTAGTGTATAGGAACTGAAAGATATATAGATTAAAGTGTAAAATTAATTTGTGGTAGATTATATACGTATTGCACACCAATGTGACTGTACATGTACACAAATGTAAGTAAATATTTCGCGATGACGTCGATCAGTTCCGATCAACCGCCAATCAATAACATTTCCAATACATACTAGTTTAAGTCCCTTACCAATACATCGATGCCTACATTGACAAAAATAATAATATGCAAAATCCACGAACAACAACGGAAACACAACACAAATCGAAAGTAGAAATCAAGCGCTTAATTAACCCATGGTCAACTCAATGTTTTCCCCATATTCTAATATAAGAAAAAAACACGGTAGTTGTGGCATGTTTTCCCGAATGGAGGAGCCTAAAATACAAATGTCGAAATGATAAGTTAAGTCTTAAATAAGGATGCCTGAACATCGTGGTAGAGTAAAAGACATACCACGTCTGACCCATTGGCCCTTGGACTAATATATCATACAGCTACGTATAAAAATAGTGGTGTCTTAAACATTTTAACATTATGATAAAACTCTTATTTCAAGAATATTATTTATATTTCTAGTAATATGTATATTTTTAGTTTCAGTTTTATTATGCGTTTTGTTTGTTATTGTATGTTTTGTGTTATTGTGATATTTGTCATAGGATCTAGCTCTTCGGAGCTGATGTTTCATGTTATATGTATACAATGTCTAGAGTCAACAACACAAATTACCAAGTTTCTTGTATCTTGTGTATCTGAGAATAAAAGTTTTGACGTAAAAATCGACAGAAATATAGGCATTACCAAACTTTAACTTTAATTTACACAAGCAACATCAAGTATTATTCAAGGCTACAATACTAAACGTAAGCAAAGTCTATTGCAAAGAAAAAGACTTATTTTAATTATTAACACCCATATTATCAACTGGATGAAAAAAAAAGCTTTCTTCAAAATCGTAGCAAAAAGAATTAAATTCTTGTTGAAAATATTAAATCGAGTTACATGCCCAGTTTCGTCTAGTGTGCCTCAAGGTTCTGTCCTAGACTCATGCTTATTTCTTATGTAAATAAACGATCTACCAAAACAGGGATGTGTACACATCCCTGACCAAAATCACTAAAAAGCCATATTCGACTATTTGCTGATATTACCATCTTTTTCAATTAACATCGCAGCACAATCAGACTACAAAACACTAATAAATTACCTCAAACTATTCTTTTAATGATTTTATATTCTTTTCTTTTTTGATGCAATTTGAGCGTCACATAACTACTACAGTTTTGAGTTCACATTTTTTTTCAAAGGAAGCTCAATGGCAGTTATATAAGTACTTCGATGAAGAAAAAAAACCAATTTCATGAATATGTTTTAAGATTTAAATAAAAAAAAATGTCGGAATTGTAAATAAAATAAAAATGAAAAAAGGTCATTTAGAACCAGCGTTTTCTTGTTCATTGTCAGTAACCGTCGCAAAAATCTCATTGAAATCCAAATTATTTAAGACAGAACAAAGTTTTGGCAAACATCTGTATTCATATCGCACAAGGAAATGCAATATTCCACGAAATGAGTTAATGATGACGACCATTGAACATGTCCATAGTATCGCCACCATGCATCTCTTAAATATAAAGCCCAGTGCTTTTTGTTCTCACATCGAGGTTGTTAAGAACCACTTTTCATTTTTCGCCTTTCTGCTTTGTCGAAGCGACCTTATGAAAATGCAAGACAGAGCCGTTTTATATTGTGATGTTGCAACAAAGCGAAAATGCGCTGTAAGCTGGGATGCTCGAGGCAAAAATATACAGTTTAATGGGAAGACATCCTGATTAAAACTTATTGAAGATAGGTAGGTACAATTCAATTGTAAATGTTTTCAAGTGAATTGGGTGAGATATCTCCAATTTATTTGATCGAAAATAATTTGAAATACGACAAATTCAACTTGTCTTAATTCTGTTGAACCTATCTTCAATTGAATCGAGATATCTTTTCAACTCATTTGAAGATGTATAGTATTTATACATAGCTAGGTTCATTTCATTTGACGACATATTCAATTCGGTTGAAGTAAGTTAATTTCAAGCGTCTGAAGATATCTTCAATATAATTGTAGCTTTCTTGAATTAAATCTGTCTGCAATTGAATTGTACTGCAACTTTTATTTAAAGAACCTGTTTTCAGTTATCTTAAGATATGAACAATTATGTTAATATAAGGCCTCTTGTTTCATACCTTTGTCATAGTCAGATTGCTCCTTTACACCTTTGCAAACGTAGTAGGGAAGTCGCTCTTGATATACGTTCTAAAAATCGAGCGAGATCGCCATGTCCATGACGGCAGTCAAATGGGGAATTGCAAACGTGGAAAGTCACGTGCAACTGTAGAAGAACGGTTCATACAAGGTAAGATAACTGGGAAGGAATTCATTGAAAAGTCAAGAAACAGCCACCACAAGAACAGAGACGGGCGTAGGAAATTACTGGATGGTCACATGTTTCACATAGAGTGTAAACAAAGATAATGTGAACTGTAATGTAATGTGATTGGGTCCTCTATTGGCGTTCATTTCTCCGAAAATTATCGATGTTGTCTTTTGAATGCGTTGGTGCAAAGTAAATGGTGTCCTCACAGAAGCCGTCCGCAATGCATTATTGGTCGAAGCATGCTCTCCATCTGAACAGATACTTTCCGTGGTGAAAAGAGTGTAAGGTAACATTGGCCGACTTGCCGACTTTTGGAGAGACTAACTTTATTTCTGTAGCCCACGTAAGCGTGCTTATGTCAAAATTAGTCATGTTGGTGGTTAGCATAGACTTCTTCTAATGCTGTTTATGTTGTGAATAGTGATTAATTCCAACAGAATAGTTGAAAAGAAGGATCTTTGCCATTTATAACATCATAAAAAGTCACTAGCCCCGGCCTAGTCAGCCTCTAAATTTCACTGGCCTATAAGCTAAAAATCTGGTTTCCCCGGGTGTCGGGTTAGCGGATTTTCAAAAATAAAAATAAAAAATATCCAACTTCAACAAGCAAAGGGATTTGATGTTTGAATGGAGTCTGGTACCAATGCAAGATTATTGAACAGAGCTTTGTCTGCGCAGATGTACCATTCGCGAATGAGAAAAGAACTATTAGTGCATTAGTATTTTTTCTCTCAATTTGGCTACCTGATATACGGTTACGGGGTCGTTTATTGAATCTTCCCGTCAAAATAGAATGTCTTGTACTGTTTGGGCTTTTTGCTGCACATTATAGTTTTCTCTTTAATTACCGAGTCAGTTCTTGAAGAGGGTTTTGTTCGGTCTTTGGAATCAATCTGCCGGGTATTGGCCGTTGCTATGACAACTGAATACTTTACCGAAGCTATATACATTATAGTTTACAGCCGTAACACCGAGTTGCGTTTTCTCTTTCCATAGAACCTGTGAAAGGCGATGTGGAATTTTGTTGGATTTGATTACATTTTAACTTTCCATAAAATCTGTGAAAGGCGATGTGAAATTTTGTAGGACTTGATTACATTTAAACTTTTCATAACATTTTTGAAAGTTGTGTGAAATAATGGGTGAATTTTATTAAATCTTTTCACTGCTTTGGTTTGGAGACTTTTCCCTGGAAACTCCATAACAATCAAGCAATTTTCACAATCTGTTTCCACTCTTCTTTCGGGGCCTTCTAGCTTTAATCTTCAGAGAGGAATTATTGCAAGATCTAAGCTTATTTTTCCACCCTTCTGACATAGTATGTATATATGTATTATTGAATAAATTACTGTTAAAACAACAAATATGTCAGTTTCTTCATAGCAACCAAAGAACACAAATTGCAACGTAGTATTCCCTGCTACATTTCCTTACGACTCTGCTTATTAACATTCTCCTTGGTGTCTTTAGCCTCTTACAATGTAGCTGCTCAAAACGACGCCCCTAACTCACCCACATCGGCATCTATTACCAATATTATCTTTGAAAAGTTCCAGTTTCTGATGCATATATGCAATAAACTATCTCTCCTCATTGGGTCCTTGTTAAATCTTTATCAAGTTACGTGCCGGCATGTTGTTTCAGTGCATGCAGGCCATTTGACTTTTTCTTCCTTGCATTATCTCCCTCCCTCTCTCCCTCCCTCGTTCAACAGCTACACATCCTCTACCCCCTTAATACTTGTTTCTTTTCTCCATCCATGACTGTAATAATCTCCTCATTGGAAGTCCTTTCCTGGTCCTTGCTGAATCTTTTATCAATTAAATGCCAGCCTGTCTTTTCAGAGCATGCAGACCACTTGACTTTCTCCTTCTTGCACTGGTTCCCTCCCTCCATCAACGACTAAACATCCTCTACCACCTCAACACTTGTTTCTTGTTTCTATGACAGTGTGAAATAGGAAGATTTGAGGACAGTGTGTTATGTAATTAGAAATGGTAATCGTGAGAACAGAATTAAATAGATGTCACATGAAAGTGAAAGAACTTAAGACAGAGTGTTGAGAACAAGGAGTTATTGTGAAACAAAATATGAATGGTGGTGTGGTTGATGAAAGGACAGGAAGCTAACTGGTCAGTCATCTAAAGAGGAATGGAGATCTGGTCAAGTAGTGATAATTGAAGGTACAGACTGGAGCCCTGGGAACCTCTATTGACCACCTGATGGCTGTCCATCTACAGTTGACCAATATAAATGTTAGTTAACTAATTTGCATATTAGACACTTCTTAGTTTTTAGTATAAGGGAGAGATACAGAAAGATAGTGAAGGGGAAGGCAGACTGAGGGAGAGAGAAGGCAGACGGAAGTACAGAGAGGCAGAACAGAGTCAGAGTTGGGAGATGGAAAGTGAGCCAGATTAGATCAGGATTGAAAGTGAGCTAAGATAGAAGGTGCTAGCAATGGTATGCAGAAGTAGGAACTGGAAGTTGGCAACAATAAAGAAATGAACTGGAAACGGACTTGAGTACTAATTCCCCAGACCGACATCGGTCACATTTCCATCCCAGACTGTGGTCACTGTGGTCGATGAATTCTCACCTGGTTATCCGGCACATCGCACCAGATTCGTCATAGTGGCACAACCAATCTTTATGCGGTAAATCTTCAAGGCTATTTTCAAGTCTATTTCACGAAACTCTAGTCTTTCTGCAACTAACAACTTGTAGTTGTGTTGGATTCATGTTTGAGGGCACAACAAATCTTCATGCGACGAATCTTCAAACCTCTTCAGTTCATGCAACGTCTTTCTACAACTACACAATTGAAGTATGCTGAATTCATGATAGGGGCACATTCATTATAACATTCATGCAAGTCTTTCTGCAACTAGTGTAATTGTGCTGAAGTTATGATAGGGGCACTGCCCACCTTCAAGCGATGAATCCTCAAGCCTCTTACGTTCATGCAATTCTTTCTGCAACCACACAATGTAATTGTGCCGGATTCATAATAGGACCACAGCCAACATTTATGCAACAAATGTTCAAACCTCTTCCGCTCATGCAAGTGTAATTGTGCCGGTTTCATGATAGGGGCACAGACCATCTTTTTGCGACTTAGCTTCTTCCGTGCATGTAGGTCTTACTGCAACTACAAATCGAATTGGGCTGCAATTATGATAGGGGCACATCCGACCTTTATGTTTCGAATCTTAAAGCCTCTTCCGTTCATGCAAGTCCTTCTGCAACTAGTATTTTATTTCATTTATTTTAGCGGACTTAAATTGTGGCATATTACTAAATTTTAACTGATTAGCGCATTAAAGAGTTAGCAATAGAAATATATATATGTACTGGAACTTCAACTAGCGCAGTGAAATAAATTAGCATAATATTTAAAGCGCTTAACACGCTAAAATTAGAATACGGCTAAAATAAGAATACGGCTAAAATATGAACGCTTACATCTTCAGATGAACAATTTATAAAAGAAAAAGTGGAATACAAATGTTGGAAACCAACACAATTATCTGGAAAGGAGATCCAACGTCCTACGGCAATGGTCTGTGGTCTGTCTGGTACAGGAATCAATTTATAAAAGAATAATATATTCGTTTTTTCCAGCACAAAAATGAGTCAAAACAATGTTACATATTAAACGATTTATTGCCAAAAAGACATCACCAATTGAAAATGATTTGGCAAAACATGTATGATTACATTGGTACCTGGTTAAGGCATTGGGTGTGTCACCTCTAACAAAAAGTCAGGTATATAGATGTTTATACAGACCAGCTTTGACACGTTTGTTATCACAAAATGTAACCCCTTTTTCCAGAGGTTGAATACTTGAAATAGATATTAATATTGTTCTATATAATCTAAAAGTTGGCCATCATTGATAAATATAATGCTTCTTTTTTAAATATATTTACATATATATACAACAATTACAAATAAATATGTACAAAAAAGATAGAGACAGGAAACAACACACATGTTGCCTGCAGAGAGTTCAATTGTTTTGAAAACATAGCTATTTTAAGTGATTTCTGATGATATTTAACTCATTCACCCCTGAAATTTCATAATGAACTCCTCCAACCTTTGAATTTGAAGAGTTCAAATGTGTCATCAGGGGTGAATCAGTGAAGCAAAAAACTCTTTCAGCTTGTTTTCAGTCCACTGAGTACCGACGTTTGAGAGTTGGCAGTCGTTACACTCGTCAGTCAATGTACTTTTCTTTCAAACATTTATTCATATTAGAAAACAAAGATGTTGTATCAGGTTGGTGCAATAATTTATGATTCAACATAAACTTAATAACACGATTTATGAAAAATTAACAATCAACTCTTCATTTAAATTCTTCGAATAGAATTATGATAAAATAACCTAAAATCTTCATTTGGAAAATCAACAACAAGGCACAATGTGGATAAAAATCAATAACATGAACATAAACACAATAAATAATGCTAAATCTGTATGAATTTGGACAGTGGTCAATTAATATCACAGATGTTTGGCCAGTGACAGCTTCTCTACACTTACATTCCTGCCATAATTTTTTTTTGCTTTACTTACAAGTTTTTTTCCAATTTCCAAACACAATATTAATTCCCCAAAAACTTAAATTGTCCCTTGAATTCCATTTGAACCATTGCCATCCCTAAAAATCCCCCCCTGCCCCCAATTTCTTCCCTCCTGAAGATTTCTCCCCAGCACACAATTCAGTCTATTCTTTCCTCAATTTTTTCTCCTTCCACCTCGACTTTACCCTCCTTACTGCAGATATCATCAAACTGTTCTTTAAAAGCCTAAATCTGGTTTACAGTATAAAATAACATCTGCATTCCACCACTTTTCACATTAGAGACTAATAATGTAGAGTCTGCTATTGCTGAAATGTCTATCAATGCATTTGCAGGATCTTACAGATCTTTTAGAGGCCTATAGCAGACAGTTCCTTTTAGGTGTTAGTTTTGCACAAAATATGATAGCGGAACATTTGTTTGTGTTTTACGTCCTATTAACACCTATGGTCATTTAAGGACGTGTCAGGTTTTGGTGGTGGAAGAAAGCCGGATTTCCCGGAGAAAAACCTCTGACCTGTGGCCAGTACCTGGCGATTACCCCACGTAGGCCTCTAACCTGCGACCCAGTGGTGGAGGCCTAGTTATCATTGAGGGTCAGACACCTTAACCACTTTGTCACTGTGGCCCCCTGATAGCGGAACTTATGAATTTGGCATCAAAAGCAAGTAAAAATACTTAATCTAAATTTGGCTATATTACTGTAAAATAAGATTGTATCTGTATAGATAAACTGCGTCTGTCTCATGAGCAAGGCAGAAAGACAGATTCACATATACTATATTCAGTAACCTTACTGGTTTGAATTCAATTGCAAGGTAAACTACCATGTTGTTTTGATATGTAAGCCACTCTTTCTTATACCGTCAATTTTCATAAATCAACAATTAATATATGTTTCGTTTTCTTTGCTAGTACTTGTAATCATGTATCGAGGAAATGGAAGAAACTGTTTGGCTATAATGCGCTAAAATGTATCGCACTATATTTAGACATCACAGAATTTTGTTTAAAAAATATACCTCATCACAGAAACATATGACAATAAATAAAAGAAGAAAATAATTCCTTTCTCATAAACATCACTTGTCGTTACAAACTTTTTTTTTTAAGAAAAGAGGAAACGGACAAATCTATGTTGACATAACTTGATACATAAAAATAAGTTACACTACATATTGTCCCAGTCATACCCGACAGAACAGAATAGCCAGTTCCTATTTTCAATAATTGCTCTTTTTCTTCAGTACAGAACGAACAAATTTATTCCGTCATAGGAAATGCACAAATTGTGGCAGCAACTTTCGTATCCAGACCACAATAGTTTATAAAGGTATCATTAATACGTTGTCAGTCATTCGTCTCCCCGACAATTGTAAATCAGTCGATATTTTTTTTCGTCTGTGATCTCTTCCAAACTCGAATGCTGTCTATTCCAGCCTACATACACTGCGGTTCAATCTCTCCTCACTTCCTCACGTCTACGCCGTTGGAACCTCTGGAGCTGGCTCAGGTGCCTTGACCTCTTCCTGTCCTGACTGAAGCAAAGCGCCATCGTCCGAATTCTTCCTCATTTTGAGTGTGTGTTCAATCAGGGAGATACATACAAACACCCAGTTGTACATGTTCTGGGCGGGAATGGAGCCGAACTTTGCCACTTCGCCGTGAGGAACATCTGTAGGTAAAACGTAGGGTTAATAAGGTCACTGTCAAAATATATAAAACTCAAGCCCTATTTGTAGGATAGCATCTCCCACTGACTATAAATTCATCGTTTCTATATGTACTAATAATAGCACAAAAATGTTATCTGCAAAATATGTACTGAGTACCGTGAAACATTTGCCCAATCAAATCTTTGCTCCTTGCTGATGAAATCAATTTTTGTCCCAATTTTAATTTTGCCCTTCACATTTGATAACTATGTTTACTATATCGCTTACTTCTGTGTGCTGTAATAATAAATGTGCAGAGGGCAAAAAAAGGCGAAAAATTTCACTGTGGCGAAAAAATTTCCCGTTATACAGTATTCGTATGAATTGGAAACAATTTTGGGTTCCATTTTTCCCCATGTAGTAGTGATACCTAGTGTAATTGGGAATCGGTGTAATTTTTGTATAATCAATCATTGGTTACCGTTAACTAACTGATGATCGATTCATAATTGATTTAACGAAGTACATTGTGAAATCCCCCGTGCTGTTGTTGGGAATTGCTGACATAATTATAGAATAATAATAAAAGTAATAATAATTTGAGGTTCTTATATACCGCTTTATCACAACCTAGTTCGTAGGTCGTCTCAAAGCAGTTCACAAATTATTATCCATGGTTATATAACCAGTAAATATCTTTCTCAACTTCCTGGGGAGCATATAGCCAGAGCTGTCGATGCCAAGTAAGAATGACCACCCTTCAAACACTGAATTGGTTATCTATAGTTCTAAGCAACCATGAGCAGGCTTGAAAGTGAATCAGTGATGATGCTAACACAGCAGCTGAAAAAAAATATCAGGAGACTTCGGCTGCTTAACTATCGTTAGTATCTAATATCAGTTTATTGGCCTATACTGACCGAAAGCCGACAAAGTTGAATAAATCGAAACATGACCAGAATATTTTACGGAAATGAAACAAATTAGATTTAATTTCGTTTTAAATGCATAAAGGACAGATAATGTCTGGTTAGCATTAAGAATGTAAGCAAGCAGTTTGCTTTGTTTTCAGAGGCAGAAATTCGGGAAAACCTTAATGACAAAATTAGATCCGTAGTTTTCCATTACCTTTGAGGTAGACTTCAATCTTGTCTGGGGCGATGAGTTCTTGGTTCTCGGTAGATGTAGGGTCATAGTGCTCTATCTTCTGTAGAAGGTCGCTGTTGATTAACTGAAATAAATAGCGTAGATAAAATTAGATAAATGTGAACAAGATAAAAATGTTTCTGACAAAGGTATATAAATACATACTACAATTTTTTTTTTTTTTTTTAAAGACTTATTTTTCTTAACATTTTTTTTTTTCTTGTTTGCTTAGAAAAGTTGGCAACCTCTCGAGGTTTCTCTCCATACACGCCTTGTTATGTTTGTCTTTCACATGATAATAGAATCCAGGGGTGTAGGATAGGTGAATTCCACCCTCAGGTTTTACCAAATTTAAAACCCCCCCGGGTGGAATTTCCCTATATCCTACATCATTGCTCAAGGAAAGGGGCAAGTTTCTTACAGGACAATGAAATAGCTTTTGTTGGCATTTCTACTAAACAGCAATTTACTGTATAAGGGTGGCCTTATTACAAGGCATGGGCTTACTGCCAAATAAATATGATATTATGAAATAAAGAACAACTGGAGAGATGCCCTTAGAAAAAACTTCTGATTTAGAGGTCCGACTCGTGGATGTTCCTGATGCTGAGTCCAATTCTCATTTACTAGCACACTGAGATTCTAAGGCTTTTGAAAATTGTAAATCTCAAGGCCATCTAGAGCAGATTATCACTTGAAAATTTACTTTTGCTTTTGTACATCAAAGTTAAATGATATATTTAAATAGTAAAAACACTTTTACCTGTGGATGAAGCAAGCACTCACAATCTATATTTCCCATCAAATAGTTTTCAAATAAAAAGTCCTTACCCCCTTGAGTTCTCCCCAGTTGTCCAACTCGCCGGAGACGACCTTTTCGTAGTAGAATATTGCACACACAGCTCGTACGATATCGTTGATGATCTTGGGAGGATCATTGTAGCTCCGGAGCTCGGCAAAGCCCTTGGAATCGATCTTGGACACATTTTCTCGGAGCTCCATCAACATGAGGCGGTCAAACATGATGTCCATTCTGTTGTCGTCATCCTTCTCAGCCTCTGTTAGGAAAAAACACAATATGTGATATGTCTATATGTATAAGCGTAATGTTGTTTTATTTTGCAGTGAAAACAGTTTTGATACTAGACCATATTTTTGATTTGTTATGTTTTGTAAAACACCAATTGTTTGATTTGTTATGTTTTGTAAAACACCAATTGTTAAATTCTCCAGCTACACAATCCACGACAATAAATTCTGATGTGAATTTCAACCCCTGCTTAATTGTTGTACCATGAACGCTTTTGATGTTGTCTGGACATCTCCTCTTTTGAATTCCATTACTCTTATGGCCGGACTAGTGAATTCCATTACTCTTATGGCCGGACTAGTGAATTCCATGACTCCTATGGCCGGACTAGTGAATTCCATGACTCCTATGGCCGGACTAGTGAATTCCATGACTCCTATGGCCGGACTAGTGAACTCCATTACTCTTATGGCCGGACTTATGAACTTCATTTAGGAATCTATCAACTGGGTATGCAGAACATCACTTAACATCCACTAGCCGACATTGGATTTATTCTCCCTTGTATTTGCTGCTTTTGACACATGTTAACATTGAGAATATATATATTTCTTAATATGCTGATCTGGCCGGACTAGTGAATTCCATTTTTCTTATGGCCGGACTAGTGAATTCCATTGCTCTTATGGCCGTACTAGTGAAGTCCATTACTCTTATGGTCGTACTAGTCAATTCCATTACTCTTATGGCCGGGGGGGTGAATTCCATTACTCTTATGCCCGGACTAGTGAATTCCATTATTCTTATGGCCGGACTAGTGATTTCCATTTCTCTTATGGTCGTACTAGTGACTTCCATTACTCTTATGGTCGTACTAGTCAATTCCATTACTCTTATGGTCGTACTAGGGAATTCCATTACTCTTATGGCCAGACTAGTGAATTCCGTTACTCTTATGGCTGGACTAGTGTATTCCATTACTCTTATGGCCAGACTAGTGAATTCCGTTACTCTTATGGCTGGACTAGTGTATTCCATTACTCTTATGGCCAGGCTAGTGAATTCCATTACTCTTCCATTACTCTTATGGCCGGACTTATGAACTTCATTTAGGAATCTATCAACTGGGTATGCAGAACATCACTTAACATCCACTAGCCGACATTGGATTTATTCTCCCTTGTATTTGCTGCTTTTGACACATGTTAACATTGAGAATATATATATTTCTTAATATGCTGATCTGGCCGGACTAGTGAATTCCATTACTTTTATGGCCGGACTAGTGAATTCCATGACTCCTATGGCCGGACTAGTGAATTCCATTGCTCTGATGGCCGGACTAGTTAATTCCATTTAGGAATCTATCAACTGGGGATGTAGAACATCACTTAACATCCACTAGCAGACATTGGATTTATTTTCCCTTGTATTTGCTGCTTTTGACACATGTTAACATTGAGAATATATATATTTCTTAATATGCTGATCTGGCCGGACTAGTGAATTCCATCACTCTTATGGCCAGACTAGTGAATTCCGTTACTCTTATGGCTGGACTAGTGTATTCCATTACTCTTATGGCCAGACTAGTGAATTCCGTTACTCTTATGGCTGGACTAGTGTATTCCATTACTCTTATGGCCAGACTAGTAAATTCCGTGACTCTTATGGCCAGACTAGTGAATTCCGTTACTCTTATGGCTGGACTAGTGAATTCCATTACTTTTATGGCCGGACTAGTGAATTCCATGACTCCTATGGCCGGACTAGTGAATTCCATTGCTCTTATGGCCGTACTAGTGAAGTCCATTACTCTTATGGTCGTACTAGTCAATTCCATTACTCTTATGGTCGTACTAGTCAATTCCATTACTCTTATGGCCAGACTAGTGAATTCCATGACTCCTATGGCCGGACTAGTGAATTCCTTTACTCTTATGGCCGGACTAGTTAATTCCATTACTCTTATGGCCGTACTAGTGAAGTCCATTACTCTTATGGTCGTACTAGTCAATTCCATTACTCTTATGGCCGGACTTATGAACTTCATTTAGGAATCTATCAACTGGGGATGTAGAACATCACTTAACATCCACTAGCCGACATTGGATTTATTCTCCCTTGTATTTGCTGCTTTTGACACATGTTAACATTGAGAATATATATATTTCTTAATATGCTGATCTGGCCGGACTAGTGAATTCCATTTAGGAATCTATCAACTGGGTATGCAGAACATCACTTAACATCCACTAGCAGAAATTGGATTTATTTTCCCTTGTATTTGCTGCTTTTGACACATGTTAACATTGAGAATATATATATTTCTTAACTAGTGAATTCCATTACGCTTATGGCCGGACTAGTGAATTCCATTGCTCTGATGGCCGGACTAGTTAATTCCATTACTCTTATGGCCAGACTAGTGAATTCCGTTACTCTTATGGCTGGACTAGTGAATTCCATTACTTTTATGGCCGGACTAGTGAATTCCATTTAGGAATCTATCAACTGGGTATGCAGAACATCACTTAACATCCACTAGCAGACATTGGATTTATTTTCCCTTGTATTTGCTGCTTTTGACACATGTTAACATTGAGAATATATATATTTCTTAATATGCTGATCATATGTAACTCGAAATTATTTTTGAGACATGAATGCCCCTTCGGTCCTGTGGTTAACCTTTAAGTAGCAACAGTGACCTTAGCATTGACCTTTGAACCCCGAAATACAAACTCATCTGAGGAACTCTCATACTCAGCAAGTATATACAGGTTTGGTGAAAACCTGTTCAGAAAAGAGGTTGTAAGAGCCATGACAATGACTAGTGACGTGCCGGGAGGGAACAGATATGGGTAACACTTTAGCCCCCGGCCCCCCGCCCCCAATAAAATGGCAGGGACATAAAAATAAAAATAACAATCAGTATTTAATGGTATTCTAGCTTATCTAACAAAAAAATCTTTATCGTAACACAAGATGTTTGCAATAATAAAACATGACTTTACCAAATAAATGTTCTCACAGATGAGAAGGCACAAACAGTGCTTATCAACAAGTTTCTTTTTTAACAGAACAAGTATAATGGATATGTAAGAATATTTTTTCAGTACATGTTATATACTTTGCTGTATTGTATATATGTATGTATATGTAAATTAGAAATAGGAGTTTTACCTAACACCATGAGCTTATCGTCGCCGGCCGATTCCCTCGTGATTTCCTTGTGAGCCTGCTGTAACAACCTCAGCATCCTCTGTACCTCCTTGTTCTCGTGGGTCGGCAGCTGTTTGAGCTCTCCGATACTGATGTCCACCACCGCCACCGCCTTTCCAGAATCGTTACGCAGCGGGAAACCTAGGTGGCGCTGTCCGTAGGCGTCAGCGGACACACTCTCGCTGTTATCCACACACTTAAACAGGTAATCCCTGAAATAAGACTTCACTGATGATACACGTACGCAATCCCAAAAATGATAGGTACTAGGGTTCAATGCCCAGCAGGATATATCAAAAAGCAATTTATATACAATAGTTAATAGAATCTGTAAGTATTAATCAATTAAATATCAGTAAATGATAATCAATCTACATCAGAAAGAATTAAAACAATAGACCATCAAACCAAAGTAATGTTTAATTGTCATCCAAACCAATTGAGCTTTTCATTCCAAGCACTTGTTGTTTATCATGAAAATTTATTTAAAATTTAGAAATACTAAATATTGAGACAAACTGATGTAGTTGATTGCTGTTTTTTCATGACTTTAGTGACTTTGCAAAATTATACACATTTCTTAACCAGTTTCATATAATCAAAATCTTTTAAATTCAAAAGTATTGCATGTGTGTTGAATCACGGTCCTACATTCAATACAACTTATCTAGCAGATTTTAAACAATTGCTGAATTTGTCTTGATGTGGGTAAAATTTTCTCATTTGACGGCGATACAAGACTCTGAAGATTTCATCATAATTTATGTTACTGGATCTGTTACACTCTGCCCTCACCTGAACAGATTGTCTTTCCTCTCCAATCGTGGGGGGTTGGTCATGTTGATCACGTTGCCCTTGGCATCGGTTGTCATCATTTTCCGAAGGACATAATCCTTCTCCTGGCCCTCCGGCTCCACCATGTACGTGGTAATCTCGTGGACATGTGGACTCCGTCTGTGGATCCACGACACGGCACTCTCTGTGATCCGCAGCAGTTTCTTGCTCATATCCACATGGTGGTAGGCAATGCTGAAGGATTTGGCTACACCCTAATAGAAACAAGAAACAAGGTCAGGAATTATATTATGACTTAATTGAATTCAGGTCAGATTTAAGAAAAATCTAAACTGCAAATGAAAATCTAGAAATATTTTTTTCTACATGGATTTAGTTAAAACTTTAAGTTAAAAATCTACTGTATATCAAAATATCAAGAAATTTAGAACAACACACAAAGATCTTATTTGACAACAAGAGGCTCATGGGCCTTAACGGTCACCTAATGAGTTATGTAAAAACTGATGTTATCGATGTTGCCAAATGAAAAAGAAATCATTTTGTAACAAAGGTAACTTGAACTACATGTAATGCAAAAGTAGTGTGAAAGATCTTGGTAGTATATGTACTATGTACAAATAGTGGTTCTGTCAGTCAGCTGAATTTTGGTAAAGCACATTTAGACCCTTCCATCAATGAAGAGTATTTGATTCTACCATAACTGGATCTTGAGAAGAAGATTTTTGAAATTTTAGTCAATTTGACCCTTTTTGGCCCCACCCCTCAGGCTCCTGGGGGCTGGGGACAATATAATTCACAAATTTGGTTGACCTTTGGCCATGGAAGGTTTCTGCAAAATTTCATTGAAATTTGTTCTGGGGTTTTGGAGAAGAAGTCGAAAATGTAAATTGTTTACGGACGCATGACGCACGACGACGGACAAAAGGCGATCGCAATAGGTCACTTGAGACTTTGTCTCAGGTGACCTTAAAATGGAGACCTTATATAATATTAATTTTAAAAGTTCACATGTACTTGATGTATTCACATATAATTTTGCTTACATCTATTCGATAATGATGTCGTTTGATCTTTCGTGTAATGTGAACAAAGAAAAAATACCTCTTCATTGTTAGGAATTCCATTCGAAGATAGTGCCAACCATTTTGTCTTTATATTCTAGGCAATGGTAAGTATCAGAAAATCAATCTTTGTGATTTCAAGCAGGAATTCATATCTAAATTTACCTGGAAGAACTGAATCTCATGAGTGATAAAGATGGTCTTTGTATGTCTGTCATTTAGTGTGTCAATCCCGAGCAGTCCAAACACTCGCTTCCTCTTGTCCTTCAGGGGCACCACGATGAACGATCCCTCACGGTCCTGGCAGGGACAATAACAAAATCATCAATGTGTTTGAGAAATAATTTCTGCATAATTTTAAGCGTGAAATATAATGGTAGAAATTATCATAAATATGTCCCTACGTTTCATTTTGAAGTAGATCATATATTTTTTACTACATTGTTAAGTTTTGCTTATATTTTTCTATAACAGAAAGTTGTTTTTTCACAAAATGCCACCAAAAGATATCAAGCCTTAATTATTACTTTTTTAGACAAAATGATCAAACCACTTGAACAGAGTATCTATCCTTTCACTTTGATAAAAAAAAAATGAAAATCTAAGAAAACCTTCTTCGAATCATAAATTGCTCCTACATACTGCTATTCCAGGTAAGAATATATGGAGGAGAGCATTTAAAACTGATAATGTATGAGTGATGGTTCTGAAATATTACATTTTGTAAAAAGGGGGTCACCAAAAATGTCTCTCTGCCTCGTACTACCTCTAAATATTTATCTTTGGAATGGCTTTTATGGTTTGCTCTCAGGTTGATCTACGCAAGACTTTACCTCTGGTACGCGGTACGGGTTCCAGAACTGGATGTTTCCGTGGTTGTACACTCGAGGTACATGGATGGGTTTACCATTCTCAACAGACGAAAAACTGAAACAAAAAGTAAAACCAACATTGTAAAGATAAACATTCTTTTAAGACATGGTGTACCTATTACACAAATACCAAATACATTACTATACATTTATCGCCCTTGCAATAGAAAACCATGATTCTTTGTAATTTCCCCGAGATTATTTATTTTTTCACAAAGTGTTCACCACCGGGTGTAGCTGTAAGGAGACAATCCTGTTGACTTCCTTCGTCAATAAAGTATGTTGAAATTGAAATTGTATTCATGTTTTTTACGAGGGCAAAATGAAACATGAGGGGAAACAAAGAATTCTTTTCCAACTGTTAGCTAGGGCAATCAATATTTTGTTACACCGAAATAGAACAATATTACACGAGAGAAGATGATAAGGTCTACGCGGCATTTCTGTTGTCTGCTTCAGTCAGTCCAAACTCAATAAGGTATATGGTGCCTCTTACCATTTTTTCTAGAGCAGCTCCGAATAAGGGAAATATGACCGTAAAATTGAGCATGTAAGGAGGACACAATGTTTTATTTCCCCGTTATGTGATCAATATAATCCTATCAGACAGGCTTTTATAAAGATGAGGCATATTGATATGTACCATTAGTGGATAGTGGAGTCTCAAAGCAAGAATTACATACATGCAGGTTGTGGGTTAGTCACGGCACGGCACTGTGTTGTATCTTTGAGCAAGATACTTTACTCTGTTTGTTCCAGTCTACTCAGCTGTAAACAAGTACGTGGTTGGGAAGTGCTAGAATTGTAGAATGCTAGCTGTGAGCACCGAAATGGCAGCACCAGCTGTATGCTCCCCAGGGAGTTGAGAAAGAAATTGGCTGGTTGCAAAGGCCCTATAACCATGGATAATAATTTGTGAACCGCTTTGAGACGACCTACGAACTAGGTTGTGATAAAGCGGTATATAACAACCTCAAATTATTATTATTATTATATATTTCATCATGGAATTATAAGCATGCTTGTTACATGGATATAGGATAAGTTATATCTCATGTTCCTAAATCGAAGTAAAAATAAACTTACCTAATCCCCTTCATGTCGCTAAATAGGATTTTGCCGAGAAGGAAGGCGGAATCGTCCACGGTAGCGGCCACATATCGTAGACACACATCACCACGACTGGGGTCGAGAATGTTACGCTCCAACATGGAGATATTAGCACTGATCCTCTTACCCCCACCGTGGGCTTCAGCATCCTAGATAACAAAAAGATTGATTATATTTTATATACAAAATAATGATTAGGAATCAAATCCAGTAGACACAAACACACAATGATAAGTTTAATATCTCCATTTTTACATGCTTTAGTGTCTTTTACAAGAGTTGGTTTGAGCACAATATCAATGCTTGAGCAGGAGAAAGGTGTCATTAATACGGGCCCTGACCTCAAGAAGGATCCAATATGTCAGACGGAAGAAACAATTTTCAGACTAACAAGGAGCAAGTTGGTCCAGTCCACAGCTTATTTTAGAATTGATATAAGTAAAGCTGCAGTGAAAATCGTGACTTACCTTGTATAACGCATTGAAGATGGCCTTGTACACAGGCTCCATGCTGGCACCGCCCGTCTCTGCGGCATTCACCACCTGTTGAAGCCACTTCTTCCTGGCCTCTCCTCTGATACGTTCAGCGTACGTCCTCTGTAACAGTTACGCAGGTCATGCTAAATCATCATTGACTTATTATTTTTTCGCAAAGTACAGCATAACTTGCATACTCAATTTGATTTGGTCCAGGAATGAAAATTTGAATCCTACAGGTATTCAAGCATGTAACAAAAAATCATTGGATGAAAAAATTATGAAGAGATAGAATTATTCCACTCTTCTGATTTCATGTATACCAGATTCTATTGTATTTGATCTGCAAATTGTAGTTTATTATGTCTCCCCTTCGAATGAAGGGAGATGTATTGTATTAGTACTGGTTCTTCTGATTCTGGTTCTTCTAATATGATCTTGTCCAGGCCGTAACTTTTAAAAGTTAAAGATATCTTGATGAAACTTGAAGTATACCTTCATCACCTATGGACGATGTGCAGTGCACTGTCATTAGGTTATTGTGACCTTGACCCCAAGGTCAAAGGTCAAATAAGTGGAAAATTTTCAGGAATATCTTGTCCAGGCCTAAACATTTAAACCGTTAAAAGGGGACACATATGTTTGTGTTCACAAAAACAAAACAAATCTCTTGTTTAAGTAATATTTTTTTCATTAAAAGCAGGAAATCTGTATTTATAAGATTGTTCAGTAAAATAACCACAAGAGCCCCTACCTCAACACTGTTGACAAGGAACTCCACGAAGTAATCGAAGCTGTCAGCCCCTGGTAGCTCCTCCACCACGAGCAGCACAAACTGTCGGAACTCGCGTCGACTCAGGCGGTTGTCTTGTGAGTACTTAGCTTGCTTCTTCAGGCTCACCTTTGCTGCAACCAGACAGAACAAATATATAAATTTAACATGATAAAAACCCATACCCCTCTCTATTTCCTATTTATATTGCCCCCTGTGTAAATACCACGGTTACCCCTCTCTATGTCCTGCTTATAATGCCTTCTGTGTCACCCTCACTCCTTTCTATTTCCAAGTTCTCCTCTGTACTACATTGCCCCATTTATATGTCCTGGTTCTCTTGTCCCTCCTTTTATTATTCTGACCCCTCTATCATGTCCTAGTTTTCTCATCCCCTCAAAGTTTCCTAACCCCTCTTTATGTCCTGGTTCACTGTCCCTTGTTTTATTAAACTAACCTCTCTCTATGTCCTAGTTTTCTCATCCCTTCCCAGTATATCCTACCCCCTGCAATAACCTTACCCCTCTCTATGGCCTGGTTCTCCTGCCCCTTGTATAACACTCATTCCCCTTTCCCCTTGCCCTGTATTACCCTTACCCCTCTCTATGTCCTGGTTCTCCTGCCCCCTGTATTACCTTTACCCCTCTCTATGGCCTGGTTCTCCTGCCCCCTGTATTACCCTCACCCCTCTCTATTCCCTGGTTCTCCTGCCCCCTGTATTACCCTTACCCCTCTCTCTGTCCTGGTTCTCCTGCCCCCTGTATTACCCTCACCCCTCTCTATTCCCTGGTTCTCCTGCCCCCTGTATTACCCTTACCCCTCTCTATGGCCTGGTTCTCCTGCCCCCTGTATTAACTTTACCCCTCTCTATGGCCTGGTTCTCCTGCCCCCTGTATTACCTTTACCCCTCTCTATGGCCTGGTTCTCCTGCTCCCTGTATTACCTTTTCCCTCTCTATGTCCTGGTTCTCCTGCCCCCTGTATTACCTTTACCCCTCTCTATGGCCTGGTTCTCCTGCCCCCTGTATTGCCCTTACCCCTCTCTATTTCCTGGTTCTCCTGCCCCCTGTATTACCCTTACCCCTCTCTATGGCCTGGTTCTCCTGCCCCTTGTATACCACTCATTCCCCTTCCCCCTTGCCCTGTATTACCCTTACCCCTCTCTATGTCATGGTTCTCCTGCCCCCTGTATTACCCTTACCCCTCTCTTTTTCCTGGTTCTACTGCCCCCTTTATTAACCTCACCCCTCTCTATGGCCTGGTTCTCCTGCCCCTTGTATACCACTCATTCCCCTTCCCCCTTGCCCTGTATTACCCTTACCCCTCTCTATGTCATGGTTCTCCTGCCCCCTGTATTACCCTTACCCCTCTCTTTTTCCTGGTTCTCCTGCCCCCTGTATTACCCTCATCCCCCTTTCCCCTAGTTCCCTTGCCCTGTATTACCCTTACCCCTCTCTATGGCCTGGTTCTCCTGCCCCCTGTATTACCTTTACCCCTCTCTATGGCCTGGTTCTCCTGCCCCTTGTATAACCCTCACCCCCTTTCCCCCCAGTTCCCTTGCCCCCTGTATTACCCTCACCCCTCTCTATGTCCTGGTTCTCCTGCCCCTTGTATTACCCTCATCCCCTTTCCCCTAGTTTACTTGCCCTGTATTACTCTTACCTCTTTCTATGGCCTGGTTCTCTTGTCCCTCCTTGTATTTCTGCATCACTGTTTCCACTTCGTCTAAGTCCAGGTAGCCAGCCCCGTCATTGTCCCACTTCTCAAACAGGATGTCCATCTGGTACTTACGTTGGGAGGACAGGGCCTCTTTACGGGCCTGAAACCAAGAGCAAGTGGTCAAATAGTACAACACAATGGTATAGAGCAGCAAGATACTTTAACGGTTGCAATGAATTGTTAACCCTTTCACCACTGTAGACCATAATGAACTCATCCAGATCAATGCATGGTAGAGTCTACTAAAGTTACATAGGGGTGAAAGGTTTAAGGATACCTGTCCCACTGCCAAAAGCTGTAACTATGACCTGAAGTTTTCTTTTTTACCATAACTATAGCTTTGATAAATCATTTCTGAAAAAAACCTACCTGTAACTTTCAAGAAAATGTAAAAAAATAAAAATAAAAATACAAATTATGACAAAATAACAGTGTTCTGAATTTAAAAATATATGATAGAGTCAGACAAGGATTTGAACTCTAGACCTCAGATCATTACACTGCCTGCTCTGAACTACGTACCTGGTCAATGGAAGTAACCTGGTCAAGTCACACTGCAGTTAAATTTAAAATTAAATTAAGGGGAGACAACTGTGTGTATGAAAACCTACAGAGGCGTTCTCTAGTGTTTTGTCAGAAGTCGTACAGGGATCCTTCATTATTTTGGTGATGATGAAGTTTAATTTTATTTACCTTCATGAGCCTCTCCATTTTCTCGTCCTCCGTTTCCTCGTACCCTCCCTTGACAAACTTGGTGAGGGTTTCAAAGGTGTCCTTTTCCACAGTCTCCTCTCCCAGGAATGTCTCGGTCAGCTGAACAAACTGCGACACATTCAGCGAGTTCTCGTCGAATGCTGACGCACCAGACGTCTTACTGATATGGGTCACTGCTGAAAAAGTGTTTCCCTCAGTTTATGGCCAAAATTTATTTGAGCAACGGCCCAACTTATTTATGTCAGATTCAATTTGGAAAATTATATTGGAATTTTTTTTCTATGTTCTAACAGCCAAAAAACAGTAGAATATATATTTAGCTGTCTTACATAAAATGCAAAAAAATCAAAATTGAGGTTTGTTTATAGAATTTGAATGAATAATAAATATGGGATTCCAACAGAAACTATCACAATTATAATGGTATTCCAATGAAGAAAAACATGTAGTTGTTTATAACAAACACCTTGACACCACATAAACTAATTACCTACAGCCATGCAGAATTAGATATTTAGAGTTTGATGTTCAAAAGACAAATCTTTTCCTAAAGATAACAATTAACACAACTCTTTAATCAGACCTTTTAAAGTAATCTAATAAAAGTCAAGTTTAAAAAAAAAATTGTACCTGTCTTTTCCCGGCTAAATGTTGTGCCAACAGCGAATGTGACTAACGTGTTCTCTGCCTGAACTGTCTTGGGTGGGTCTTCCTTCACCTCTGGGGCTGCCTCATCTCCTGCAATGGGTAGGTCAGAGGTCATGCACAAAGTTCAAAGGTTAAATGAGACCAAATAGTGCTCAAGTCAAAAGATACATCATTTTGAATTTTTAAAAAACTGATATTATGTAATGTTTACTATGTTTTCTTAGAATTTTTTGACAATAAATGTATGAAATGTTTTCCAAATTCTTTGTTTGAGATATTTTTATACGAATTTAGATAAGGTAAAGCCATGCTTATCCTGCAATAAGCCTAGCATTTAATATTTTGCTCAAAACATGGAGATGGGCTAATTATTAACCGACAATGAATTAACATTTGGGTCATTTCTATTAAACTAAACAGTTATGGGTGGGCTTATTATTATCAGACATATTGCTGGATAAATCTTTGGAGATCATTGTTAACATGAACTTCTTTCTACATATTTCATATTCGCGCTAAGATCGAATGGTATTTCTAATCTATTATAAATAACCATACAGGGTTACACACTAGCTTTTTCTGCTTGGTATTCCACATGACTATAGTTGAATAGATTATGTGTTAGCCCTACGAGTCAATGCAACTAGTCCAAGATTTCCTTTAACCCTTTCACCACCGGGACCATAATGGACTCATCCAGATAAATGTATGGTAGAGTCTACTAAAGTTAAATTACCTAGGGGTGAAAGGGTTAAGAAGCATTCCAATCGATGAGGAGACGACTCGTTTGCAAATTTTAATCTGGAACAATAATTCCACAGATGATTACTATCCAGAAATAGCTTCCTCTTAATCATGAATTTAAATATTCATGAGTACAATCTTCAGGCAAAACTTGCAAAAAAAACCAAAACATGCTAAATAAAGTGAATGACATGCTGAAAATGGTGAAGGCCAACAGCCAAACAACATAAAATGCACAATTGTGATGAGACCCCGAGGTGATTAGATATCAAACAGTATGATAATTGTGTTCTCATACTTACGAGACAAACTTGTTGTGATTCTGGAGCCGAGGTACGATTGCTAGTTAGGATTACAAATCAGGGTGGTGTGCATAGTTTGTCACAAGACAAACTTGAGTCGGTGTGAGTTTGGAGCGGAGGTTATAATTGGATTATTTAAGGATTAAAAGTCAGGGAGGGATGGATAATCTGTCGGACAATTGGTTATGTTATAGGACCAGTAGATTCAGGAGGCTGAGTTACAAGAGGAAGGTATAAGCAATCCAGATAACATATATTTCACTCATTCACCCCCTGAAATTTTGTAATAAACTATTCCAAACTTTGAATTGGAGGAGTTCATAACAATGTCTTTAGGTGTCTTTAGGGGTGAATGAGTTAATTAGCAGTTATTGGTAATAATTGGAAAGAAGCTATTGTGTTCTATCTTTCCCTGTACTGGGTTACTTTGTTAGACCAGTGCCTGATGTTAGAATGAGATGAAGACAGTCACCCACTTCACCCATCATGATCACTACCTTCTTTCGGTGATTCCTTCTCTCCTTCCTTTCCACCGTCCTCCTCGCCTGTCCCATCCTCTTTCTTTTCAGTTGCCTCTTCCTCTGCCTTTTCTGTTGTTCCCTCCTCAGGTTTATCAGTTGGGCTCTCCTCTGTTTTTTCAGCTGTTCCGTCTTCTGTCTTTTCTGCTGAAACTTCTTTTGTCTCTGTTTTTGTCTGTCCATCTGTCACTACTTCGTCTGTCTTTGTTGGCTCTTCCTTCTGTGTTTCTTCCTCTACTTTTTCGGCAGGTTTTTCTTCGGTTTTTTCAGCAGGTTTTTCTTCCACTTTTTCTCCAGCTTTCTCCTCTGGCTTTTCCTCTGTCTTTTCTTCTTTTTTCTCTGATTGTTCTTCTTGCTTGGCTTCCTCCTGCTTAGCTTCCTCCTGTGTGACCTCTTGCTTGGCCACCTCCTGTGTGACCTCTTGCTGTTGTGCCTCTCCCTCGGCAGGTTTCTCCCCCTCTGTTTCCTTGGGGGCGTCAGTTGCCGCAGCCTCACCTTCCTTGGGTTTGTCTCCCTCCGTTGCAGTTTCAGTAGTGGCACCATCAGCAGTGGTGTCCTGCTGTACTTCCTCCTGCTTGTCTATCAGAATCATTGGTAACAAAAGCAAAAATCAACCGAAGGTGCAACACAGGCAAAAAGTACCATTGTCAGGCAGGTACAGTCAGTCTTACATGGAGTGTAGGGGAAGAAATTGAGATTTACTGGTATAAACATGTTGGACATAGCTGACTATGTTAAAACAATATTTCAGTTTCATGGAAATTTTTACTGCAATTTGATTTCATAATGTTTTTTCATTTTAAGTACCGTACTGCAAGTATCTTTTTTCTTTCAAAAGTGAGTAATTCTTGATAATATACCAATAGGTTGTAACTTATCAGATTTTTTAATTCTTCAACTCCTTCAAGTGCTTGATATATGGAAGGGGACAAGTAGAGCTGGATCAAGGGTTAAACCCCCTTTTTTTTTTAAATTTAATATTTAATTTAATAAATACAAAATAAAAATCTTTTTTCATGACAAAAAATGTAGATCTGACTGAAAATGCCTCACATGTACCCTGAAACATTGCAAAATAAATATTTCATGCAAAACATAAAAGTAAACATTGAAGCATGCAGGAACAGGTAACAGTGTATATTATCACCCTAAGCAATTGTCAAATGTGCTGTTCTCGAACCAGCCATGTGTGCAATGTAGGTACTGTGTCACATTTTGTATAGAAATGATCAGTGACACATTCAATGTTGAAACATCTTTACAATAGATCAGGCAGTTTCTACTTACATGTCTTTTTGATCTGGCTATCAATAAATTACTCAAATGATTTTTTTCATTTATTTCGATAAATTTCTTGTAATTTATTTATAAGTAAATTATGAATACAGTTGAACCTGCTCAAGAGACCACCTGTGTTAAAGAGACCACTTTGAAACTTCCCCATCGCAGTTAATCTCAGTTAACCCATTCACCCCTAAAGTCACAATTGAACCTTACCAAATCAAATACTTGGCAAGTCCAGTTTAGATGTGTAGGGGTGAATGAGTTAAAAACCACCTGCGATAAGAAACCACTTATGGAGTTCCTGAGGGTGGTTTCTAAATACAGGTAGGACTGTAATACGTAAACAAAATAACAAATCTAAAATAATTCACATTTAATCTTGAAACACTGAATAAATACAATAAGATTTGAAGTTACAGGGATTGCTGAACAAAACACACATCTGAAAAGCAGTTTTACCTCCTGAGTGTTGTTGGGTCTGGGGAACCTCTTCTGGTTTAGCTTCCTCTGGTTTGTCAAATTCATCGTCATCGAAATAGTCAACCACCTCGTCAACCTCCGCCACCGGCCCTGTATGAGTAAAATCATATCAGATTTTGCATGTTTTGTGGGACAGATTTTTTTTTGTACAATTTGTAAAGGCAAAGATGCACATTTACAGTATATAGTATCTATAATTAATAACAAAATTGATACTTTAGACTGGAAAGTTTTCACTTCAGCTTAATTACAGCTCTACCTAATGAGGGCAAATTTATGCAAGATGGTGGGATATTGTTATTACATTTTATGTAACATTTTACTACAAAGATAGATTAAAAATCACCAATGTGCAGCTATAGTGTGTAAAATATCAGTATCTTAGTCATATGACACAACGAGCTACGAAAATATTTACATCTTCTTGGGTTCCTTAGGTTTCTCTTAATGTCTTCCTTCAGGGAATCCCAGTAAGATTCAAACAGACTCAAAATCCTGTGTCGGTCCAGTAAACCAATCTAAAACAACAAACAATCTGCACATGTAATCAGACTGCGTGAGAGTATTGTGCCGATGGGCATATTTCAGGAGGTCTTTTGCCAAAAAGAAACAAAATCCATATATGCAAACACACCAGTCTATTCTTACATGTCAGGAGAAAAAATATGCGTAGTATCTTAAATCAGATTCATCAATTTGAAAATATGTTAAATATCAAAGTTTTACTTTTAAAAACATAAACAACGTATGTTTTAAACGTGTCGCAACGTGTCAAGACCGGCTGGTCCCTTAAAATGTCAAGCTATGACTTAATAATCGATTTGTATTGTTAACCTGAACAACAATGTGAGGAAATTGTATATTTCATATGTCACTCGACCCAGAATGTTTTGCATATCGCTAGAGAGCGTATATATACACCTGCATCGAAAAAAATACTGGTAGGGTGTTGATCTAGCCCCCTCACCAAGAGTGTATTTATTGTGTATGGTTTGATTTTAATAACATATACCTACAAATGTTCATTAATAAATTTTTATCATTTCTGTAAAATGGTGGTATTATGATTATCTCAGAGTAATTAATATTTAATATGCTTCCAGAAAACTTGAAACGAATAACGATTTGGCAGCTAGATTAAATGATGTCAAGGATGAAATAATGAAGCCATAATGTAAAATGGCTCTTTGATATTATGGAACCCATTTGTGTTTCAATTCATTGATTAAATTAGTGCGTAATAATTAACAAATAAGTTCTGGTCAAAAAGAACTCCTGGTTACAAGGGAAGTACGTCGGACATCTTGTATTTTCAGTGCAAAATACAAACAAAATATATGGAAAGGCCCGAAAACTTGCTGTAATATTACATTGAAATTCACCATATATATCATTGATAAACGATGCCAATCTATTTATATTAACAAGGCAGAATATTGAAAGCAATCCAAATAAGTTCCAATCCAGGATCCTCGGGACAAACTTTGGTATCAAAAATGAACAAGGGGCATAACTCTGTATAAGACCTAATATCAGCATGTGAAACTCCATCATTCATAGAGGCATTCACATAAAAACTCTCTGAACAAACTTTCAAAAGAGAACATTGGTATTTCCAGCCAGTTTTTGTTCCTCGTTAATTTGGAAAGGGGGCTTTTTTGTGCTGATTTGGGAAGAAAATATACCAAATTGGAGGGAAATTTTCAAGTGCAAACTGCAAATTTTGGGAGTTAGGCATAAATATGAAACAGCTTCAGTTGGGAAGGGGGCACATGGACCAAAGAAAGTCCCCTGAAAAAAACACTGCCTGCTGACTGGTCACCATAGTGATGACCAATTTATGTGCATCATAACTTTCCCATTGACTGGTCACTTAGATTTTAGCCCTGTGTGGTCACTATACGTACTCCGCTGTGGTCACAAGTGATGAAGAGGTTGGTCAGCAGGATACGCCGCGCCTCACGACTGGCTGCCGCTCTGTGAGACGTCGCACACTTGGACAAGTGTGTCATGAATTCATCAAAGATTTCTTTACTCAGCTCCTCCACAAATATTCCCATGTACTATAAAAACGTAAAAAGTAAAACAGTAAAACCTCCATATAATGCCCCTCGTTTCATTTGCAACCTCGTTTACCGCCAGCACATTTCAATATCACTTTTTCTGTTTTTTCTTAAGAATTCCTTTATGCAATTCCCTCTATTTATCGCCAAACCCCTTTATAATGCCAAAATTGCATTGGACAAATGTTCATTCAAACAAGTTTTTACCATTTTGGGTGTACAATTTCCTACTTTAAGTGTGCTAGCCCACAGAGAGATTTAAAAAATTCTGCTAGCCCTTTTTATTTTCATAATAATTATTTAAAATTTTCATCAGTCCAGACATGAAGTTCACTAGCTAGTGGAACCATACACCCCCTGTCAGCACATATATAACACACCCTGTTTAGCAATGTCATGCAAAACTTTACATCATGAAAAGCTTCATTTATTTTATACTACTAGGAAAATTACAAATATACATACCCGTTCGTTAAATAAAACAAATAAATTACTTCTAAATGAATATTTCAATTGGCATTCATGATAAATATTTTCATACAGGAAAAAGTTATTTCAAGAATAAAATACAAAAGACACACATACTCGAGCAAATTCTTTAACTGTTAGTGACTTTCCAGTCTCGTCTGTTGGTTCCAGTGCATGGCTCAATTTGGCAGCATTTTGTAACTCTTCTGGGAAAGTTTCGGCAATTTCAACAAATGACCGCAAGGCATTTTGAACCTGAAATCAGAAGAAAAAACCCATTATAGCATTGATTTTTAAAGTTCTCCTAGCTAAACATTTTACTTTATACTTAAAATTGAAGCATTGCCTAGTATTGTTTATAAATACTTAAAATGTTTTCCAAATCAGGGATCAACTTTGAGAATATGAAGGAAACTTGAAAATGTAAAAAAATAAAATATTGTTTGTACGTACTATATCGATGTCTTAACAATAATTATTAAAACAACCACTGGATATGGACAAAAGATAAAATAAATACATAAAATAAGCAACATTTTCGGACACATTTTAAGAAATGAGTAGAGTAGATTTTGCTTAATATCACTTCCTATTTGTCTGAGGAAAACATGATATTAACTGGAATGTGACATAAAGAGAAAACATGTTTTTCAGATCATTTCAGCTGTCAAAACTGGAAAGTGACCATATTAGAATTTTTCAACTAAGACACTAGGGCTAATCAATATTAGTAGTTATATATCTTACAATAGATAGCTCCACTCTGCCATCAGGCTGGACGTTCCAGTTGGAGAACTGGTCCATGAAGGCAGTTTCCCGTCGCTCTTTCTCCTGCTGTTTGAGTAGTTCTAATCTATCTCGTTCCTCTCTCCTTCTCTTGGCCTCAGCCTTAATTCTTGCCAATCTAAAAAATCATTTTTAATTGCTCCAAATGTAGAATTTGTCCCAACTTGCTTTTTTAAATTTAATTTACAGGTGGCTTCTTGCATTTTAATCCTTTGAATAATTAATTCAGCAGTGGTGTCCCTTTACATAAAAATCAATGTAGCAACCTAAGGGTTAAGTCAGTAACAAACAGCACATACATCACCTTGTGAAATATTCTAATAATTTTTTTTTTTTCGTTCTTTTAATTGTATATATCAAATTGCAAGGGCTGAGAAGAATATGGAAATTTTAAACCACAGATCTGGAAACAAAAACCTGACAAGTATTCCAGTATTCTTTCAAAATGAGATAAAAAAAAACCAACTAAAGTTCCTTATTGAATCAATGAATTATTTCAGATTCTTCAAGGAGAACATTTATGATTTATAGAGGCCTGTAGCATCAATTAATTGGATTCAACATTTAAATAAATAAAACAGACAACCACACATGTTTATGGAGCAACCCAATGATTTGAACCAATAAAATTTAAATTGATATTTTGACAGCATTTCTTGTTACATCATCTATAGCAATTTGTGATTATAAATATATTATATTATTACACCTTGCTTAATTTTGAAGCATCTCATCTTGATTTTAACCAAAGAACCTACTCATAATTATTCTCTGAATTTCAAATGACCTAATAAAAACTCTGCCAGCTGTCAACAGTCTCAACACCAAAATATCCAAGGACACATCAAGAAATATGGCAGATTCAAATGGCCCATCGGGAAACATCTAAAAGCATGCACGCTACAACCTAATTTGCTGGATATGAATGACTTGACAGTTCTGTATTTGTTTTGATTCTCTAAATGACTAGTTGATATGATTCAATATATATATGAGCTTTGATCAATCAATAAAAAATTTAAGAATGAAACTTTGTCTATTTCGGTTCTCAATTTTTATTTTTTATTTGTGCTGTACCTGAATTGTAACTATGTCTGGGTTTTCAGATAAAGAATCACATTATACAATCTAGGTATAGACAAAGTCAAGATACCATAGTGATTTGACAGCCCTTTACTCGTTCACCCCTGAATACATATATTTGAACCCTTCCAACTCAAAGGTTGGAATAGTTCATTTTGAAATTTCAGGGGTGACTGAGTTAATAACATATTATTTGACACATTACACTACATACCTGTTGTCCTCTATGTTGAACAACTGTTTCTTGAGGTCATCAGCCACCTCCCTTAGTCCCCTAACGTAAGGTGATGCCTCGGATAAGTTACAGTATTTAGGATTGTTCCTCATCAGGTACTGAGCTAGGAAGTTGATGGGGTTGAAATTTGGTGCTACTTCTCCTTCTTCTGCAAGTCCCTTACTGTCTGCCTCATTAAGTAGTTTTTCTACACCCAGGATGAGCGTGGGTAGCACTTTATCAACCAAATAAGCTCTGACCTCAAGTGTTGCCTCATTATCATTAAGCCATTCTCTAGCAAGAATTTCAATTGGAATCTTCCTTGCAACTTTCTTAGCATCATCTTTTGATAGTCTGACATTCTGTTTCTTTTCATTCCTGATGACCACTAACTTTTCCATCATGTTTTGTTCGTGTAGTCGCTTCCATCTCCTAACTGCACTCCTGACCACAGGTTTAGAGTATTCCCCAGAATTTGGGCTGCCAGGCGTTTTTCTCCCTGTGGCGCTCCCATTTCTATTCTCATGATCCTTCCCTGCTGATAAAGTCACTCTCTTTTTTGGACTGCCAGGGGTACACGGTTTAAGAGCCAATGTGTCCGCCATGTTTCAAACTGAATGGAAAAACAAGTACATGTTATTTGATGGGTCGACAAATGCACCATGAGTTGGAGAGTGCACTTAAAATGAGGTTATTGAGATTATATATATATCAATACTTTATTATATGATTTATGTTTTTGCCAATGTCTTGAATATTATACAGTTTATCGTAAATATGATATGATATTTAATATAGATATATGTTAACAAAACAAGAACTCAATCTGTGCTTCTTCTTCCTTGTATTTGCCTCCTTCAACTTGTTGTAGATACTGCAAAGTTTTGGAGTGCGCACTGCACGTGAGGACAGGTTAAAAAGTTAAAATAGATAAAAGTTCCTTGAATTTAGAGGCGTGACACTCGGCCTTTAAAGCCATTGAGTGTCTCCTCTTCCACTATATCAGTAGTGGAATCTGTAGTACATATTAACATTTGGTACTTACATTAGATTGTATCATCGTTATATCATCTTCTTGTTAATTTCTTCTAATATGGTGCTACACAAGCAATGAGTTTTTACAAATGTATACATCATGCTACAGACAGATAGCTAGGCAAATCATTACTACAGTGTCTACTAAAATTTACCATAATTGCAGGCTTCATAATTTTGATCACTCATATGTATATTTGGCGACCAATTAGAGTTTTGAAGCCAGTCATATTTTACCAGACTTCTACAGTATCGTTAGTGATTCTACTGAATAGATCTACTCATGTACACTCACTGCTGTGCTGAACAGTTGAAAGCACCTGTCATGCCTGTTCAAAATAATAGATAAGCCTCGCGTAAAGTGCATGCCCGTAGAGTATTTCAGTACGAACTATTTATTTAGTTAAACTCACTTTTCTGATAGCTTTCAATTGAATCCTGATTTGACGGAAATCATGAAACAAATATCCAGTTTGTGACGTTCACATCAGGAAAATGTTGCTATTCCGCCATTCGTTGCTAGGACGAAATCTTGGTCATTTGTACGCTTACTTTATACTTCCGGTTCATATTGCGCATGTTGCGGAAATCTTTTAAAGAAGGAACAGTGTGTTTGACGTTCTGGGTTTCTTGTAGCTTTATATTTAGTAATGATTTCTTAATATGGTGTGATTGCAGCAGTGCTGCAGCGAAAAATGTCTTTAGTCACCGTACAACGATCGCCAAGTCCTAGCAATTCGCCAGAATCGGTAAGTAATTAACATACACAATGTTACTAGTGATATGAGAGTGTGCTTCACAAGAACCCAAATATTCTGCTGTCTGTGATCATGTGTCAACACAAGCACTGTGCAAGTGAAGGACAGAAAGAGCTCTTTCCTTGTTTATGTTTTGAGTTATTTTTATATTCTCATATCAAAGAAGAACGTTACATGGTCTTCTAGATCGCACGTTTTGTTTTCTAAATTGGAAGTATAATCAGATGTGATGGATCGTCTTGATCACATACACCCTTCACTTCTACACTTTTAGAATCAAAACATTTCAATGCCAAGTCTGTTCCTTCCTGAAAAAAATGGGCCTCCAAGAAAGAACCTAAAATTTAACTCCGAAATGTAGATCAACTAATTTCTGATCATGATCACAGAGTTATACACACAAAGTATACAAATAGCATCAGGTTAGAGTGTAACAGGTGAGGAAAAATGCATGTCTAGTTCAGGATTCGAACCTAGAACCACTAATGGACGCATACTTTTGGGCTGCCTGGTTCCTGACAATCGACATAGACCATTTCCACTACATTGTTTCTCTGTTTTATAAGTCTTAGCTCAGTGAACACAACATACAGCACTCACAACCTAGATTCTGGTTTCCCCTTGTAATGTCAAGCGTATACAAATTACTTCAAACAAGCGTTTAGCAACAAGCATCACTACTGTAACTAAGGGGGAAAATGCATGGCCAGACGAACATTTAAACCTCGGACCTCCAAACTCTATAGACAGATGCTCAAGCCAATATTGTGCATGCACTACCTTCAGGTCACTGACGATCGACTCAGTCCAGTTCTGCCACAATAGTGCCTATTAATGAGCCTGTTGTGCTTTATGTTCCTTTACAGAAATGGAAAAAATATGTATGAAAGATTCAATTACAGTTATGGAATAAAGAACATAATTCACATTAACTACAATGTATATTACCTGGTATGCTGTTAAGTTTAGTTCGCTATTATGATAAATTTGTCGTCATTACTTGCCAGCATACAGTATATGCAAACAAAATATGCTTTAGGCAAATGTGTCTAAATAAAGGTGCCCTAGCTGCTGGTTATTTTCTGTATTTATCAACCAATAATATAAGAACATATATATGCCTCGTAATACGCCAACCAATGTCATATACAGTTCAGAAGAAAAGCTAGTTATTAGGAATGCTATGTGTCCTCCAGATTTAAGTATATTGAATTATGTATGTAATAATCTATTAATGTATATATGCATATACACATGTGTGGTACATGTATGTATGCATGTATACACATGTGTGGTACATGTATATATGCATTTATACACATGTGTGGTACATGTATGTACATGCACATGTATACACACAGGTGTCATTTATGTGAATTGTGATTCTTTGCATGTTTGAATTAAAAAATACATATAAATTTTGATGAAGTGATCGATCATAGACCAAAACATTTAGGCATTGTCCATGTGGTCTGAAGTGATAGGGAAGTCAGAAATAAGTGATCCCTTCCTAAATGGAAATGTGTATTTAAAAAGATAACACAGACTTATAGGGGAAGAGGAAGGCTAGGTTGCTGAACCACTTCCTTAGTTAAGATTGTAATATAATAATATGTATCACAGATCAGGGGAAATTTAAAGGGGAGGCTGCATGGATTTCTAGGTCATTTATATATATCCAGTATCTATATAGATCTGTTATATGTAGTATATAATTGTAAAATGTAATCATTAGGATATACTATTATCATTCTTGGTAACTCTCCCTATTTAGGAGGGATCAAGATTCCCAACTTATGACCCTTAAATTAAATTTATTATTTCCAAACAGTGAATTTGCCAGACTATTCCAATTTTCTAAGATATTTTTATTCAATCTTGAAAGAACAACTATACTTATAAAAATAAGCCATTTTAAAGAGTTTTTTTTATATTTACCAGGTACAATGTATACACCTAGCTAGACACACTATTTACAATTTTGAGCATGCACAATATATAATCTTCCGATCGAAATTTCGTAAGGTTGGCATGTAATTGTATTACACATCATACTTTTTGTACCTGTATAATATATAATGTACATAGGCTTTCAGATCTAATCTGTTACGTACTGAAATTGATAACTAAAATGTCGATTTCATCACTGTCAGTTGGTAATATATATATGGTGTATGTAATCATTATTGATTTCTCTCAAGACCTACAAAGCTTTCATCTGTAGCTTTAAAAACTGGAGAGAAGGACTGCCTTGTTTAATGGACACAGTCCTGTGTGCATTAATTAAGGAAAGATAACTCTAATACCTTTGTATACAATAATACAGAGATGTACAATTCCACTCATGAGAAACCTTACACCTAGGGATTGTTGATTTTATATAGAAGTTAGTGATATTTTTCAATATTTAACATATTAATATATTAATTGACTACCCGGAGAAAAACCACTAGCCTTCTGCCAGTGTCTGGTGACTGCCCAATGTAGGCCTTCATATCCCGTGGTGGATGGCTAGCTAGTGATCATAGATGGTTAGACACCTTAACCGGCCAGCCACTGTACACATGGCCCCATGATATACTTAACTTTAACCATTTTATAATTTAGTGACTTAATACCGTTACAGGATGATGGGGCGGAGGGAGAGGTGTCGGAGGATTTGGACGACTCCAGTCTCAAGTCTCCAGGCCGACAGAGGAGGTAGGTCCACTTGATTTATACATTGATTTGAACACAAATTGTTATTGTTATTATTGTTCATTGTCACAGTTTGTTTATCACTGTTTGTTTATTCATATTTCATTCACTCACCTTTAAATTCACCTGTATGTTTGTCCATGTTTTTTGTCACTTGCACATTTCGTACAGTTCTTGTTTCATATCACTCTTTGCCGTTGTTCATGCGTTTATATAAATTCATCTTCACGAGAACCTCAATTCTTGAAATCAGTTCATGGCCACCCTCACAAGCACCAAGATGGTTCATTCAACTTTCGGCATTCACTGGTTTAATTTTATAAACAATAGAAGTTAATTATTTCCCGAGACATTGGTATCAAATATTAACATCCCAAATACAATTTACCTGGGAACATGTAGGTGTGTTGCCATTATACATATTTCTTCCTAGCAAGCTTGAAGATGTAGTTGGCAGATCACAAATGTCCATTATATTTCCGCGTTAGATTGACATTAGTTATGATATTTGCATGCATTATCCCATGATTCCTGGAAGCAATAGATACGCAACTTGTTATGCAAAGCTGATCGTATGAGCATTCTGACTGATAGCCATCCCCATTATATCTCCCAGTATTATCATCAGGACTTAATTGACTGGCCGAGTTGTTCTTGCAGAATTTTCAAAATGTCATTTTCAAGGAAATAATGAAAATAAATACAAATTTTCAGAAGCCATTTTGAATATTCAGTTTAAGATATGAATTTCAACATGTAAATAAATATTTTGAAAATATTCTTGATTTTTTCTCTCTCCATAAAGTGGTCATTATGGTAATGAGACTTTTCTATAACTGGGCATATAGGTCCCAGGATTTTCTTTTTTTTATCTCATCATACATTTCAATATACCTGTTTTAAAAATCATTTGAAAATTTGTGAATGATTTTGTATTTCCTGTCTGAAATAATCATTTCAAATCCTTATCCATATTTAGTTTAAGGTTTAAGTTTTGATATTCATGGAAATATACTAGATGAAAGATTTGCATCAACACGAGTCACAATGCAAAATATAATTGGATTTTGTACAATTAAAGGCGTGAATGATATCCTGTATATATATATATATCCTCCGAATGTTGTCGTAACCTATGTATATGTCCAGTTGACCTGCAAATTGTCTTATATATGTGCACTATTATACAAATGCAAAATGTATGCATACATTATTTACAAAGGTGATGTATCTGACACAGAGTGAAACCTGTCTTAAATGACAAAGTTAGCTAAACCTGTCTTATACGACACATTCACCTAAACCTGTCTTATACAACACATTCACCTAAATCTCTCTTTTACGACACATTCACCTAAATCTCTCTTATACGACACGTACATGCTGTGACTTAGTTTCTTATTCAGTATGTTATAATTTGCACGAACCTGTCTAATCTGACACAGTGACATGAAACCTAGCTTAATGTCAGGAATGTTGTAAAAATTAGAGAGCTATAACTGCGCTTAGTCACGTTGTAATGAAGATATATAGCTATTGTAGGTAAATTTGTTTAATCTTAATGAACTCATTCACCCCTGACATTTCAAAATGAACTATTCCTCCTAGTTCCAACCTTTGAATTGGAAGAGTTCAAATATATGTCTTCAAGGGTAAATGAGTTAAAGTCAGGAATGTTGTAAAAACTCAGTTATAGCTCCGCTTCGTCATATTGTAATGAAGAAATAGCTACTGTAGGCGTATATGGTTTAATCTGTAAATCTACAATGGTATGTAAACTGTAGTTGCAAAAAGTCCTGGAGATGAAGAGTTATAGTCCCAATCTGAATCAACATTTTCAATACCGCCATATAATAGTTATAAAGGATCAGTGATAACAAAAATTACCTGTTTTATTTTCAGACAATATTTATTTTTCGTAGTTAAACAGATGCTTCCCAGCTGGTGCTTTAAAAATTCCTTCACTGTTTTGTTAGCTCACTTGATCATACTGGGGATAAATACCCAGCATTATTAACACAATATATAGGGCTGATCCTACATAGGTCAACATAAGTCGTGGAATGTTAAAATGTAAG